CTTAATTTATGAAGGGATCCTGAATATGATTTAAGGCATCTTCCTTAAGGGAGAATGGGCTCTTTGAGGTGTGTTTTAGGGTTCAGGGGTGTGCGGCGGTGTGGCTTGAGGGTCAGCTGTTTTAAGCAAGGCTTCTGGTTCAGGGATGAGGTCTGCAGGAGTTGCGACTCTCACACTGGTAGGAGAGGTTTAGAGTTTTCAAGTTTGTGGCCGGGCTTTTTTTCCAGAACGCTTAAACACTAAAACCTAAACCCTATAAGAACCTTTAACCCCTAAACCTAAACCCTAAACTCCAAACCCTAAGCATGACCAGAAAGGTAGAAGGGGAGAAAAGGGGGGTCCTGGGGACTGAAGGACCGCTGGTAGCTAGTGCGAACGGTTGAAAAGGCCCTAAACCCTAAACCTGAAACCCTAAACCCTGCTTGCTGCCGAAGAGTAACAGGAGCCAATGATGCGAAACCCTAAACCCTAAACCCTAAACCCTAAACCCTATAAAGCCTAATTTGCGATGCTCAGCTGAGCGGCGTCAGTGGCCAGCCGTTTGCTTTTCGGCTCCTTCCATGGCACTGCCCTAAACCCTAAACCCTAAACCCTAAACCCTAAACCCCAAACCCCAAACCCCAAAGAGAATCCTAAAGCCCACGCTCGCGCAAACCTCAACAGCCCTATCCTTAAGCCTTACAACCCCAAAAGCACCAAAAAGCCCTGAAAAGCCCCAGAAGCCCTGAAACCCCTAAAAACCCAAAACCCCAAAAGTCCTTACAAACAAATAAGAATAAGAATAAAGCTAAACCCTAAACCCTCAATCCGAAACCCTAACCCTAAACCCTAAACCCTAAACCCTAAACCCTAAACCCTAAACCCTAAACCCTAAACCCTAAACCCTAAACCCTAAACCCTAGACCCTAACAAAGAACGACCAACAACTGGCGTTCAAGCCTGGGGCTTGATATCGAACAGCTCATCAGGAGCCTCATCCGAGTTGGTGGGTTTAGGGTTTAGGGTTTAGGGTTTAGGGTTTAGGGTTTAGGGTTTAGGGTTTAGGATTTAGGGTTTAGGGTTTAGGGTTTAGGGTTTAGGGTTCAGGGTTTAGGGTTGAGGGTTTAGGGTTGAGAGTTGAGAGTTGAGGGGTGAAGGTGTGCTTCTACTCGAGGCTTTGGGTTTCTGCTTTTGCGTTTAGGGCAAGGCTTTAAAATGGATTTTGTTGGTGGTTGAGACGTGGCTAAGGCTTGGGGGCTTAGGAACTTGGAGGTCTCGCGACTGGGTTTTAATCCTTGACCCTCTGAAAAATATTCTGCAATAAGGGAAAAAACGCAACGTATCCCAGGGGCCTACCCAGGATCTCAAGGCCTAGTATTTTAGGAGCATTTGTTCGGCTTGTTTTCGCTTGCAGGCATGAAACCCAAAACTGAGCCCAAACCTACCACAGCCCCTAAACCCTAAGCCCTAAACCTTAAACCCAGAACCCTAAACCTGCTAAACCTGATAAACCCTAAACCCTCAATCCCTAGACCCCCAACCCAACCCTAAACCCCAAACCCTAGACCCCAAACCCTAATTCTACTAAAGCCCCTAAACCCTAAACTTTATCCAATGTCCAAGCTGCTGAGACTTGCCGTCCGAAGCCACCCTCAGCCTCGGCCCACTAGGGTTTAGGGTTTAGGGTTTAGGGTTTAGGGTTTAGGGTCACTTTCAGTTTCGGGTTTCGGGTTTCGGGTTGGGAGGTAGTTTCCCCTTACACTAACAGTCCTTAATAGGGATTCTAGTACCTTCTTGCTATAATCCCTATGATCCCTACTGAGGCCCTATTCAGGACTGTCGCATCCTTCCACACTTTTGCCTTACTCGCCCACGGCTTTGTCTCCGAGGCGTCCGCAGGGGGCGGCGCCCCAAAAAGGCTCGAGCCTCTCCAGCCGTGCAGCGATCTTACACTGGGCAAGGGATGTTCAAGCCCTGAATACCCTGTAGACCTGCAGAAACCCTTAACCCATAGAGAAGAATCTGGCTCTAAGCGATGAGAGGCTGCGGAACCTTCTTCAAAACATGATTCAGGATCTGATGGCAATGATAGTAACCTTTAGCTTTTGTGTACAGCATCTCCTTCGTTGTCCAGTAACCTGAGGGAATTCAAGGTTAACCGCATTTGGGGTTATATAGGAAATATACTACCCCAAAAAACGTCAAAGGTTACCTACTCTACTACTAGGCCTCGCTGTAGGGCCTGTAGCCCCCCTCCTGATCTCACTGACCCGGCCTCCACTTGAGCCACTTGCGGCCCCCCCAAACGTGAAGAGACTGCTGCCCGATGTCGCTGGGGCAGCGCCTGCTCGGCTTTTGTAGGGTTAGGGTTAGGGTTTAGGGTTTAGGGTTTAGGGTTTAGGGTTTAGGGTTTAGGGTTTAGGGTTTAGGGTTTAGGGTTTAGGGTTTAGGGTTTAGGGTTTAGGGTTTAGGTTAGCCCTACTTGAATGCAGATGTGAAGCTGCCGCGGACTCTGTTTTCCCCAAGGGTAAGATATACCAAGGCGAAGATATGATCGCCCTTGGGACCCTTGGTATATATGGAAGAAGGGGGAAAACAGAACGAGAGGAGATCTATGATTCATCTTCTGAAAGTTCCAAAAGCTGGAAGGCCAATGTGGCTGCTTGCTGCTCATCTTGCGTGGCGTAGCGCGACGCTGATGCCGGCGTACTCCAGTCTCCCATCCTCAGCATTCCAGGGAGCCCATATGCTGCCGAAGCATGCCACGACGACCCTGCCAGGAGCGCGCAAGCCACTGGAGATGCATGTAAAACATCTGTGCCTGCGCCTCTTCTGAAGCTATGAGAGGAAACCTTATGTGCTTCTTCTGCCGACATTCCGCAAGTGACCACGCTACTGCGCAGCCGTGAGGTGAAAGTAGCCACTGACATGGTAACAAGCAGCTTCTCTTGTGGCCAAGCAGGACCTCGTAGTCCATGTAGGGCTGCAAGCCATGGATGCCAGCACAGCAAGGGCGACCGGCTACAAACACACCAGCGTCGCAAGGTACAAGGGTGGGGCTTACCCTTGCGGTAAATGTTGGAGTACACTAAACATCGATCTCCTACACTTAGTCTGGACCAAGACAACTGCTTAAAGATCTCTGACGGAACCCTTGCAGCAAAGGTGTATGCCAAATTGCAAATGGCACCGAACTCCACGTCCCGGTTCCCCGCTGCTAGCTTGAGAAGCTTGCGCCACCAGTGCAACTGCAAGCGTGGCTTCGGAGGCGCCTCTGGAGCTAAGCGTACAGTTCCCTTGCGTAGCTTTTTGAGGAACAAATCCGCGTCCCCTGCCCACGGAACACGTTCCCGTACATGCCAGTCTCTCCAAGCTGCCAGCCAGCCTCTCTGAGTGTTCGGGTTGTTGATCAGAGCGGCCACCCGGCTGATCAACTGCAGTGAGGCCGGCAATGGTGGCTGGCGAAGAGTACGACACGCCCAATGTATCATGCGAATATGGGAGGCGTAGGTGGTCGAAGTTGTTTTAGCCACTGCCGCTTGAGCCCTTGCTGATGCAATCGAATCCAAGATCTGACCCACCGGAAATTTTCTGCGAGCCAAGTCTTCCAGTAGAACGATCTCTTGTGTCGGGGTCGGTCCTGCCTGACTGCGCCCTCGGGGAGGAAGCATACCGACAGCCTGGTGCAACTCTGAAGGTTCTGCGCACGCCAGTCTGAAAGCATTTGCCGCACTCGACGTTACATCACTGGCGGACGCAGCTTTCGAACTGGACCTGGAGATTCCCTTTGATGTTTTTTTCTTCACGTTTTGTCCTATGTAGCCTTTTGCGTGCGATTCGGGGGGAATATGTGCGAGTAGTGCGAGGACGACCGGAAAGTATGCGAGTAGCCAGGAAACTGTGCGGGGCAAACAAGACCATCAGTCCTTAATTTGGGCTTTTGAGTTGAGTGGGGTGGTGGTTGAGTTATACATATGCTAGCCTGCATATCCCTTTAGGGTTGAGGGTCAAGGTGGGTTCTGAGGCTAATAATAAAATAACCCTAAACCCTAAGCCCCATCTCTGTTGACTCTGATGCTGGATGACCCCTCTACGATCACATCGATGTTTTTCCAGCCGGGCCCCAAGTCACCATCGGTGCAACCGCTTCAAGCGATCAAACTGTGCACGGTAGCAACCCAGTGCTTTCTGAAGGGTGCGAAGGCTTTGTGTGAGGGGATGCACAGTCCGAGCCAGCCGTGCTATTCTGCCAATATAATCCTCGTCGGACCAAACGGCGTAGCCTGGGTTGGGATCCATACTGGCTAGTTCCATGCAAACCACACAAGCCCCTTTATAAGCCTGGGAAAAGACAAAAAGGTCTCTATACACGTAGCCAACTGGACATAAAGGGTTGATAGCTCGGGGTCCTGAGCTCATGCCGATGGCCAGGTGCAGTGTAAAATGGACTTTCGGCCGTACGTAGTACAGCTTGAGGTTCTGACCCTTGCATATCGATGCCAAGTACCCGTAGCCTTCCTCAGCTGGCCCCATTTAAACATAAATATGTCCTCGATCCTAACATCGTAAACCTGGTCGTTTTTATCAACCAAGCTTCACACATATCCTGCCCGACAGCCAGCGCGTGTGATCGCGCAGGTTCCTCGATCCAAACCCCATGGGACCGCAAGATCCTGAAAAAGTAGTTGCAACAACGAATGACATACTTCAGGGTCGCAAGCAAATGGTCTGTGCAATCCTTCGCTTGGCAGCAGGGACTACAGTGACTACACAAACTGGTAGGGTTTCATAGATTCAGGGCCGGGTTAGGGTTTTGGTGAAAACACTGAAGGACCTGAAACATTACATAGCTCGACCCGAGTTTCGCAACGATTGACCAAGACCTCCTCGAGCCAAGCCAGCACCAGCGCAGTGTCATAGCCTTTCCCTCCGTGGGTTGTGGGATAATCATCGTTCCTCAAATAGATACTTCGATAGGGGTGAGGGTTTAGGATGTAGGGTTAGGGTTTAGGGTTTAGGGCTTAGGGCTGAGGGTACACACAGTTACCCAACCCAGAGCAAACTTGACATATAAGGCTAATTGAAAATCGCTGCGAGCTCATCTTGAAATGCGCCCTGGAAAAACCATCGCAACCCGTAGTCTTGTGCCTCTGGGTGATGTAGCCCATGTAGTCCCGGAAGCCACACTCCATGCGTGCATCCAGTGACCGCCCAGGCCAAAATTTCTTCTTCGCGAGGAGCACGATGCTGGAGGCCGCCAGGTCTTTCCCCCAGCCAATGTGAAAACAATGGCAGCTGTCCGGAAATACATACTCAGCTTTGTTCAGCCCTGGGATGTTCATCAATGGGATGTTGCATGGCTTGAAGGGACTTGTGGTTCTGTTACCCACGCTAGGCCGCCACGCTGCATCCATGTCCATGATGTGCCAGTCCTACCAGGGGAATCAAGGCTATGTAGTTCAAAACCCTATGACAGCAAACTCTACACCCTAAGTCGAGCTAGTGGAATCCTTTGGCTCCCTGTGAGCCTTAGCGTCGCACAAATGACATTTCTCTTTGCAGTTGTATCCGACTCGCATGTGATATGCCTGAGTCGCACACTACTTACTGACGAGGTGGCTTCGGTCAGGCTACTCTAGTTTTAATGGAATCAGCTAACTAACTTTGATCTCGAGACAAGTGGCTTTTCGGAGATATTTCCAATCCCCTTTGCCCCCCACGCACACCAGATGCAACTTGAGACCATTGCCGACCTTGGTGCTACAGCAGCACAAGCTAGCTGGTTTAAATTCTAGAAGATTAAGACCCAAACGAAACCGATACACAAAAGACATAGCTAGCCCCACAAAGTGCTCGAACCTAGCGTCGTCAAATCCCTTCTCGAACAACTCACAGGCTTCGGTGGCCCATTCTTGGTGGATCTCATCCAAGGTTGTCTCCCCAGCAAAGAGCATAGCAGAAATGCTGCTGAATAGGAATCGGGTGGTCATGCTGTGCCTTGGGATTTCAGGGATAGGGACTGTTGGGCGAATCTGGCTTTGCAAAACCGAGCGAAATACTCTTCAGATGCAGCTTCGCTACGAGGACTCGTTGGTAGACTCCACCCCTTGGTAGCCAATTAGCAACTGCCAGGCTTCCACCATGTAGGGAACTTGTCTTTGACCACGCCCCTCATCGCCATGCAGCAGGTAAGGCACTGCCATCTTCCAGGGAATAGCAGATTCATGCGCGTAGATGGGGTGGGTTCCATCCACTTGGGCATATCTGGTCCAAAAGTTCTCAAACGTGCTTTGCCAGCCAGTCACATCATCCAGTTGGTGTCCAGCTAGCAGCACCGCAGGGTAATGTTTAATAAGACATCTCAACCACTCAGACATTCGCAGGATTGGAAACCAGATTTGTTCCACTTTGTTTTGCTTCCGCTTTCGCTTGACTGTAATCGAGATAAGGTCAGGCTTGAGAGGCAGCATGACCCCTTTGCTCTCAAGTAGACGTGTTAGGTTGCGGGTGGCATTGGTCTTAGACCGGCCAGCTTTCCCGAGCAAATACAATGTGTCCACCACATGTCCTGGGTCACACTTCCGAGTTAAAAAGTCCTTTGAACCCTTGCCTCTACACCCTAACCCTAATTTGCAAGGACGGCTGTTTGCGAATAAGGGGCGTTTGGAACGAACTTTGCAAATCATATTAGCAATCTTGCATGTTCGATGCGCAGACTCTGCCTCAGACTCCATGCAGAGATGCAATCTAACTCGATCGAAGCATTGACTGGTTTAGTGCATTTGCCCTGATCCCCCTACTTTGCAAACAAGCATCCCCAGCCAGATAATCTTGCATCACTTCAAAGGCCAATTCGGAATCGGCCCCGTCCGAATCATCACTGCAAGGACCTGCGCCAAGGATCAGTTGAAACTTCAGGAGGTTAGGGGCTACAGGGTAGGGATTTCACATGAGCCAAGGCACCTCCCCCAAGAGGACCCCGCAAATTTGCAAATCGACCTGGCTGCAGCATAGTGGGGCCCGACGACACCGATCTAAAGGATCCACAAGCAGGCAGAAGCACTTGCACGCACGAGTTTTCCCTTCACAACACCTTGCTAGCTGACCCAAGTAAGAATTGAAGTCCGAGACTCCTCTGTGTGCAAGCCACACAGAGTCATCTAGACTTGTCCACAGCTGATGCATGATATTCATGCACAGCACATTGCACGCATCGTAATTTTCAGGCAGAAGCCAAAATGCAAACAGCGATCCTGCCCGTGTGCACACTGGTACGATATATAGCCGACTAAAGTTCGTAGGGCGCAAAGATCGCACAGCCAAGAGTGGCACCAAGAGCTCCATGTACACTTACTTGCTAGCACGCTTACGCTTGCTGTGGGGCTTCGGAGCTGCTTTGCCTCGCACTCGAGTCGTCGGCTTTGCCGACTCATCCTCGTCTTCGCTTTTGGCAGCAGTAGGCCCCGTAGGCTTAGCCTTAGCCTTACTCTTAGCCTTGCCAGCCAGTGCAGGACCAGCCGTGTTCACCTTGGGACTCTTGGCCTTTGCGGCGGGCTTGATGTGCCTGCAGGGATGTGGAATGTAATGGGGTGCATGGTTTGTTTACCGATTCCCGCCCACCTTGCACGGTTCAGGGCATTGTTCAAGTTCATGTCGGTCCGGGTGCAATTGACATAGGCAGCAATGAGTTCGTTCTTCAACTCCCTGGCTTAAGGTGTCGGACTAGAGGTTGCGGTGAAGTGATTGTGCAGCATGTATAAACAAGACAGGCTGACACAGTAGGGGGATCGTCAATCAAGGCCCTCTGCTGAAGGTCAAGCAACTTTTCGTACAGCTTCTGATACTCCAATCGCTGCTTTCTGATCTCCAATGCCTGCCTGCGGCACCAGTTGAAGCAGATCCATGTCTGGGTTTCGGGTTTAGGGTTTAGGGTTTAGCTAGGGTTTTAGGGTTTAGCTAGTTTAGGGTTTAGGGTTTAGGGTTTAGGGTTTAGGGTTTAGGGTTTAGGGTTTAGGGTTTAGGGTTTAGGGTTTAGGGTTAGGTACGAAGATCAAACCACACATACTTTAAGAAAAAAACTCTTAATACAAGCTAGGAGCTTGGTGGCCCGAGGGATCTTCATATCATCTAGCTTGTCCTGTACACTAGCTGCACATACCAGCCGCTCTAGAGCTTCAAGCAAGCTGGTGTTGACAGAGAGCGCTCCTCAGTTTCCTCAGCCTTGTCTACCTTCCGTCCAACCGCCTCGATGTAGGTCGCAAGAAGCCCTTAGCTATAGGGCTTAGGGTTTAGGGTTTTGGGATTTGGGATTTGGGATTTGGGTCAGGTCAAGAGCACACTCCCTACTAGGTGCATCTTGAGGGCCGAAAGGGTTCTGGTTGGCTTGCAGGATCGGCAGTGCCCCCGCAGCATTCCGACCAGAGCTCTTGCCACCTGATGTTGCGGCTGCTGAGGCTTGAATCGCGGCCGCACTGACTTTGACATCCTTGCGCCTGGGCCACAGCAAGCTGCTAGCTCATCCGAGCTGCTCCCATACACATGTGTCGCGCAGCTAAATGCTAAGCAAGACCGGACCTTGTAACAGCATCCTCACTCAAGCTTGCATCCCTCTGTAGCATCGTGCCATTGGGATCCTCATTTTGTGAACACTAAATGGGCAGGCATGTTGCGATACTAGTGTTACAGAACGGTACTGCTGTGAAGGATCCTCCAGGTCACCAGAAGCCACGCGCTTCACACGCTCACCCTTTGTGGTTTCGAACTGGAACGTCTTGCTCACGGGAATGCGCCATTCCTCTTCCTTGTGCACCTCGTTAATTTGCATGAGATCCCTTTCGATGGCCCACTGGCGGCTGTTGTTGATCATGGTCCTGGGAGTGGGATAGTTCATGTACTATGGCTACGATGTACACGCATCGCCCCTAGCACATATGTGAAGCCTAAGGGTCTCCGTCCATCCCTCCTTTTCCAGGCTCACCCTGGTGTGCCACCCACCTGCGAGCGACTCCTTTTCCATTCGCTCTTCCCACTTCTCGATCTGAGCCTCCACGGCCCCAAAGCTGTAGCCATTCTCCACAAGCATTTTGTGTAGCTTCACCCCTGCGCACAACCATTAAGGGTGAAATCGCTAGCTGCACGCAGCCCCAACACCCCTCATCCCCTATTAAGTGCAGTTCAAGAGACTCCCCGCATCGGTCTGGAACATCTCGATTGCTGCCGCTGAAGCCAAACAACGCTTCTTCGAGGTATCGAAGTAGCGCTTCATCCTGGGCACCAAAAGGCCGGAGACATCCGTTTGGGTTAGGGTTTAGGGTTTAGGGGTTAGGCGGGTTTAGGGTTTAGGGTCTATAGCTTTTCCGGTTAAGGGTTAAGGGTTTATAAGTTTACGGCCTTAAGGGTTTTTTCGGCTTTGGGAAAACTTGCATGAATATAGATCGACTAGGATTCTTCCAGTAGCTCCCATCTTGGTACATGTTGGTTGCCTGGGCTGCCTGGGGTGCCTGGGGCGCCTGGCTTTCCCAGGTGCGCTGCTGGGCTGGCTGCGGGGGTTTCGTAGCGGGGGCGCTTGCACCCTTCCCTTTCCCAGCCTTGGTCACTTTGATGACAGCCTTGGGGCTTTTGCCGTTTGATCGAGCTGACTTCGGAGTTTTTTGAGAAGCCTGCTTGGAAAGCGCACGAGGTGTGCGGGTGCTCTTGGGGCTTGTTGTGAAGTTCGGGCCCGTGGTTCCCTCCTTTGCTGGGGTTGACTGAAGGTGGCGGCATGGAGAGGCGGGCTCAGAGTGGATGGCCTGGGGTGGAAGCTCAAGGCTTGGAACCCTCTGTGGAAACTGATCTGGCGACTCACTCGGGGACTTGCTCCGGGACTTGCTTGGGGACTTGCTCGGAGACTTGCTCGGGGACCGGGGCTTGCTTGGGGACTTGCTGGGGGACTTGCTTGGCGATGTGCTTGGGGCATGCCCCGGGTAGGACTCCTGCACAAACGTCTGCGACTCTGTGGGTTGGAACTGAGGGCAGCTGTCTTGGGACAGAGCAGGAAGCAAACCAGTCGGTGTTCTGGGACCTGCCTCTACAGAAGACTTAGAAAGCCCCAACTCTTTGACATGGGATCCAGATCCCAATAGATCCCCCCTGCCAAAGCCCGGAAGATACTGGCCACCATCCCCACGAGGTTCCGGGAAGATCTTTCCTGCCAGATTTAAAAATGGTGTACTGTATATATATATATATATATATGTATATGTAGAATATATATATATATATATATGTATATATGTGTGTATATATATATACATATATATATATATATATACATATATATAATATATACACATATACTTTATATTATATATATAATAATTAAATATATATAAAGGTCTGTATATATATATGTATACATATGTATATATACATATATGTATATATATGTATATATATATGTATATATATATATATTCTACACATAAGCATATTCATGTGTAATGTATGTATGCATGTATGCATGTATGCATGTATTGATGTATGTATGTATGTATGTATGTATGTATGTATGTATGTATGTATCTAAATTATATATAGCGCT